CCCACATATATGTATTTGCGTCCCACGCTAATGTTGATGGAATGCAACATTCTTATCCAATAAGCATACATACTATGTGCAAGTCTTTTCTGGATTTATTCGATATCCCATTTCGAAACATCCAACGACTTGGAATTGTATTTAAGATCACAACTTTCAAGATATGTTCCATGATCACCATCTCTATGCGCAACCATATCTTATAGCTATAAGTGATCTAGGGATTTTATCTTAAGTGCAAATATATGATAAATGCTTACTCTTAAAATAAAGTAATGCCTTATTATTTAATATAATTCTAATAGATTGTATTTACAAGTAGAATACGTCCAATCTGATTGGAACACCGGGTATACTACTCCAACACTATCAAGGCGTCCCTCTTATCCACGGTCAGATCATGAACCAAACGTATGAGAGGCTAGTCGAGAAGGCGGAGCCCAACTATCTGGGTGGGAAGCAGCTTCTTTGTCCATGGCCGACCGTCTGGTCCTAGCTCAGTCTGTGGTAAGTGCTATTCCTTACTACACCATGCAGTCGGTCCACCTGCCGTCATCCATTTGAACGGGGTTAGAGAAACGACTCCGGCGTTTTATTTGGGGTGGCTCACAGGACACTAGAAAATTGCGCCTAGTTCATTGGGAAGAGGTGTGCCTGGTTAAAGAGCATGGTGGTTTGGGAGTTAAACGGCAACGACTGATGAACAATGCCTTGCTTATGAAATTGGGATGGAAATTTCTCACGCATCATAACGCATTATGGGTGCAGATTTAGAAAGCGAAGTACGGTGACAACCCTTTCGAGGCCATTGCGGGGCGTCGAAAAGTGCTCGACAACTATCCAAGTTGTTCATAAAGTCTGGACCCATGTTGTCAACGGGGCCCGCTGTGTAGTCCGTGATGGAGAGTCGGACCGATTTTGGACAGACAAATGGCTGCAATTGGATATGGTCCTGCATACAGTCGCTTCTGGGGTACTTGGTGCTGGAATTTATTTTCTCACTTAGTGCCGAACTCCGTGCTACTTCAGATCGCGGCAATACCTCCACCACGAGCGGGGCTCGGTTGTGACCGGCTCTATTGGGAACGCTCAGCTACTGGGAAGTCCACCACGAGGTCCGCATACGAATTTCTAGATGTGGAGAGTGCATCGGTGTCGGGCCTGAGGCCTTTATGGCGGGCGGTTTGGCAGTGGCCGGGACCCCAAAGGATACGACACTTGCTTTGGCTTTTGGTGAAGAATTGACTCTTCACCAACGTGGAACGCAAGCGACGACATTTGACTTCCGTAGCCTTATGTGAGGTATGCAATCTCGATGAGGAATCTGTGTTACATTTCTGCCGCGACTATCCAAAGGCCACTGAAATATGGCGTCGCCTTTTACCGTCTCAAGCTCAACCAACGTTTTTTTCCTCTACCATGGACGAGTGGCTCATGTCAAACCTTGTTTTCCCGGCGCGTATAGGCGGCGACAAGGCCCTGTAAGAAACTCCATAATTCTGCTGCCATGATTGAGCATACACCTATATTTATTGTAAATCCGTTGAGAATTTTAATCCAACCCACGGAGGCCTTTCCCAGCTTATCCACTGAGATGTTCTCGACCGGCCCGTCTCCCCAAGCATACAGGCTCCTTCAGTCACCTTCGCCATCCCCTCGAGAAAACAAGAGATTTCATGCAAACCACCCTCGACATCACGATTTTTCCCCTTGAAGAGACTCTCATTCCGCTAGCTCCAGAACTTCCACACTACCACGCCAAAAATACTACATGGGAACTGAGATATAGACACGTTGTAGCGGAAGTGGACAATGCAAGTGTGGTGGCCTTCGCTACATCCCTTAATGATGTTCCGGGCGTGCATCTGGGTCTAGTGTCGGGCATCAAAGAACTCTTGAGTCGCCCTTGGGAGGTGAAAGTGCAACATGTTTTCCGTGAGGCGATTTATGCGGTCCATTATCTGGCTTCCTTCGTAGCGGAAGGCACTTTGGGGTACCGATCCTTTACTGTTCCCCTAGAGGGTGATCGTCAATGGCTACAATATAACATCGTTGGAGTGGCCCATGCACGGACCATCTACACCATCACTCAATAGGCGTTTTAGCCTCTTCTTGTACAAAA